ATCGCCCAGGGTGTCGCCGAGGGCAAGTACCGCAGCTACCCTCGCATCGTCGGCGAAACCGGTGGCAAGAACTTCCACCTCATCCACAAGTCGGCCGACGTCCGCAACGCCGCCGTGCAGACCGTCCGTGGTGCCTTTGAGTTCCAGGGCCAGAAGTGCAGCGCCACCTCCCGCGCCTACGTCGCATCCTCCATCGCCGACCAGTTCCTCGAGCAGGTCGTGTCCGAAACCAAGCAGCTCAAGATCGGCGAGCCCACCGACTTCACCAACTTCTGCGGTCCCGTCATCCACGAGGCCTCCTTCAACAAGCTCTCCCAGGTCATCGAGGACGCCAAGAACGACTCCGAGCTCGAGCTCCTCGTCGGCGGCACCTACGACTCCTCCAAGGGTTGGTACATCCAGCCCACCGTCTACCACACCTCGAACCCTGACCACCCTCTTCTCTCGCGCGAGCTCTTCGGCCCCATCCTGGTCGTGCACAGCTACAACGATGCCACAGAGGCCGACTTCTCCAAGATCTGCGAGAAGATCGACCAGACCGGCGAGTACGGTCTCACCGGCTCCGTCTTCGCGCAGGACCGCGAGGCCGTCCGGGTTGCGGAGGATGCTCTCCGCAGCACCGCGGGTAACTTCTACATCAACTGCAAGAGCACCGGTGCCGTTGTCGGCCAGCAGCCCTTCGGTGGTGCTCGTGCAAGCGGGACCAACGATAAGGCTGGCAGCGGGAACTTGCTCTCGCGGTTCGTCAGCTTGCGCTCGATCAAGGAGGAATTCGTTCCTTCTTACAAGGTCGAGTATCCCAGCAATGCGTAAGCTGGCAATGACATGTACTTCGGTTCGGTGATTATTATTCCCCCATATGTTGATGTATTGATGCATTTTACTTTTGTTTCGTTTGATTTCCTTGCATGACTGGCGTTTCGCATTACGGATGCATGACCTAAAATTTGAGTGTTTTGACACCTGAATAAATATATTCATATTTTTACTTGAATGAGTCTATGATTGCATTCAATGACAAAATCCTCAACTATTTATCATCCGCGCAATTCTTCAAGAGCTTCTGCATACTCTCCATCGCATTCTTCGCATACGGAATCATATCGTACTTCTTTCCCTTCCCCTGATTCCCCCCGTCAAAGATCTCCATAGAAAACCACCCCCGGAACCCGGTCTTGAGCACCGCCCGCGTCACCTCCTCAATGGGCAAGTACCCACCGTCATACGGCATAGGCCGGAAATCATGGCTCCAGCGCCCCCGCGGCCGAAGCCCATTGATCACCTTATCCTCGATCGGCCGGGTGGGCTTATACGCATCCGAAATCTGCAGTAGATAGATCTTCTCCGGCGGAATCGACCGCGCCAGCTCGTCCATACTCGCCGCGAAGCGCCGGTTCAGCTCGTCGAGGTCCATATCGTCTATCCGGCCGGAGATGGTCCGGGGATCGCCCCATTCGGACCCTGCGGTCTGGAACGTATCCAGGCACAGGCCGATGTTGGGGCGGTCGACTGCACGGACGATCTCCCAGACGTCTTTCCAGGTGGGGGCGTGAGTGGACCAGCACCAGTTTTCGTAGGCGAGGCGCATGTTGCGTTTTGCGAGCAGGTCGGCCAGTTCGCGGAGGTCGGCGACGATCTCGTTGCGGTCCGTGGTGATTTTCTCGGCGGGGGCATCTGTTGAGCCGACCTTTTCTCATTATTGTCATTAGCTTGCGTTATGTAGCAGGAGGATCAAAGCGGCGTAGGCATACCTGCAGCAGATCCGTCCCGACGACATTCATGATCTCGATCCACCCGTTGACACGGGTAAAGGCATCCTGGCGCTCCAGCGACCCTCGAGGCCAGCCCTCGAAGTTCGCGAACGGCTGCAGCATCATCACCTTGAGATTATTGGCGTCGCAGAGCTTTCGGATCTCGCCAGCTACGGAGATGATCTCGGCGAAGTTCTCCGAGGCGACTTGGTGGCCGAGAGTTCGTGAGCCATAGTCGATGATATCGGGGAATGATAGCTCGATAGCTGTGAAGCCGGCTTGGCTGATGGCTTCAAGCTTCCGGGGGAGTGTGTCGGCGTTGCTGCTGCCGATCGAGCAGGAGGCATATGCCAGAGGGATTTTGCGGAGGGATTCGTATGTGATACTTGGGGCTGATGCGATCATGGTGTTTCTTGTGATCGGTGTTGTATATGTTGTTACTATTGGAATAAGACTAGGGAAGGAAATACAGTAATACAGCCGGCAAGATGAGCGATCACCGGAAGGAATTCAATACAAAAACATAAGTAAAGCCATGCAAATTAGGACAGCAATTGATAAGTTGATATCATGTGTTCCTGGAATTGAAGCTGTCCGAGGCGATGATGTAACCATGAGATCGGCCGAATTAGGGCAAATGAACATCTGCAACGCAACTTCAGGACATCCGGCAACGACGGAGTCGGTTTCCGACGCATTGATAATCACACCTACGCAGAGAAAATGACATTGTGCATTATGGACTTCCAGATATCGAATGAGATCAGATAACAGACTGCCTTTCTCCTCGGAGATGCACCAAGGGCAGGATTATGCTTCCCATGACGTCTCCGCCGTGATGTAATTCCAGCGTACGCTTCTTCAGGCCGGATGCGCTGTCCGATTGCCACTGGAGGTCCGTTCAATAAGAGATGTTATTCCATGTAGAGTAGTCGATCTTTCTATACCCATTTTCTCCGAGCTCTGATTTTTAATCACCCCTGTATAGAACCCAGATCGACCAAGTTAACTATACTGTGAAACGCCATCATGCCATCATCACAAGACCCAATTCAAAGATTCAAGCGCATCGGCATTGTCGGAGCGGGGAACATGGGCTCGATGATGACCTTTGCCTTCTCCGAGCTGGGTTGCGATGTCTCAGTATGGGACGTGGACCCAAAAAATGTCGATTCGGTGATGAAGTTCGCCAAAGATGCACAGCATCTGAAGGGCAAGATCGACGGGTTCTACAATATCGACGAGTTTACTAAGAGCCTGGAGGGCAAGGCCGAACGGAAATTATTCCTCTTTTCCATTACACATGGTCACCCGGCAGACTCCGTACTGGGGATGATCAAACATGATCTGAAGGCCGGCGACATCATTCTCGATGGAGGAAATGAAAACTACCGACGGACAGAAAGAAGACAGAAAGAGTGCGCTGAGATTGGGGTTCACTGGATCGGAATGGGTGTTTCTGGAGGCTACCAGTCCGCTCGACACGGGCCCAGCTTGTCGCCTGGTGGAGATGCCAAAGCACTCGAGCTCGTCATGCCGCTCCTGGAGCTCTACTCTGCCAAAGACAGCAAGACTGGCAAGCCATGTGTCACACGAATTGGCCCTGCGGGCTCGGGACACTACGTCAAGATGGTTCACAACGGTATTGAAGGAGGTATGCTCTCGACACTCGCGGAGGCATGGTCCATCCTGCACAACGGGTTAGGCCTCAACTATGATGAGATTGGCGACCTCTTCTCCAAGTGGAACCAAGAAGGCGAACTCAAGAACAATTATCTCCTTCAGATCGGTGCAGATATGTTGCACAGAAAAAAGACACCTCAAGGTGACTACCACGGCGAAGGTGCTAGCAAAGATGATGGCTATGTACTTGACGATGTGCTTGACAAGGTGGTCCAAGACGATGACAACACCGAGGGGACTCCGTACTGGTCGATTATGGAGTCAGCTGAGCGTCACGTCTCGGCACCCACTCTTGCCACAGCGCACTTTCTGCGTGTGGCCAGCGGGAATCGTGAAGAGAGAGTCCGAGTCGCMAAGAAACTTCATATGCCCAGCCCCAAACCAATCGAGACGACCAAAGATCGCGGTGCGTTCATTGAGAACTTGCGCCGAGCGGTGTACTGCTCCTTCTTGGCATCATTTTGTCAGGGTCTCGAATTGATCGCGCGCGCCTCCGAGGACGAAAAATGGGACATTGATCTCGGCAGATGCCTTCAGATATGGCGAGGCGGTTGCATTATCCAGTCCGAAGCCATCGCAGACCTTCTGCAGCCCGCCCTGACATCCAACACGCGACTCACCAATATGAAATTTGTGGATGAGGTAGCCCGAGAACTGCACAAGAATTTTGACGCCCTAAAAGAGATTGTGATTGAAGGAATCTTGTCTGATCAGTACATGCCCGCTTTGTCCGCCACGTTAGAGTACCTGAAGTACGAAGGAGGAACGATGCTGCCGACCAAATTTATGGAGGCGCAGATGGACTACTTTGGCGCTCATGCGTACAACAAGCCAGGTGTCCCAGGTGAAGATCCAGGTCCAGTCAAAAAGGGTCCCCATCATTATGAATGGAAGCCAGCATAAAGGCTCCAGTTGGCCCCGACTTTGGTTTCCAAACCGCGTTGTTATAATCTGCATGTGCATATTTAGGACGAATGGGAAATGTTGACGCAATTCATATAGGGTTTCCCATGAATTTCGTATAAGACTGAGCTCTGTAGATGTATATCAACCGTCAACCATGGATAGCCAGCTACAATGTAGTCGCTGTGGATGTAGGTTAGTTCTAGCCAAGGGATTGGGAGACCATTGCTTTGAACTTAAAAAGGGCCACGTCAACCCTGAAAGTGATATAGGCCTGGTTTTAGACGCTGAATGTGATAAAATATCATGTCTCCGGCATACCCACAGCTCATCTCAAACGAGATCGGCTGGGTGAAGCCGCAAAAGAAATGGCTGATTGTGTGGGTGATTGATGCCTACTGATGCCTACTGATGCCGCGGTACCTGGGATGGACCCACGTGGGGTCGCGATAAGCGGATCGCCCAATCGGGATGACGACCCCGCCAAGGGGCAGAAGTTTTCCAACTCCAAATACCCCTCTTAGCAGTAAAAAGCTGCGTCTATATTAGTCCTTTCTGGTGCTGCTTTTTATGCTTGGATCCTGTTCTCTTCAACGATACCTCTCAAGCTTTACCACAAGACCCCTCCGAAGAATCGAGTCTGAAAAGCAGCTAGCAAGAAGAATGGCCGTTCTCCCCAATACCTACAACGGTGAGTGCTCCGTGCTATCACAGACCCGCAACCTGCATAGACTAATGTAATCTTTACTGAATATAGAGCCTGTGCGTATCGCCGTCATCGGTGGTACTGGTCTGCGCGAGCTCCCCGGCTTCACTCAGGTTGCGTCGTTGTCGATCACCACGCCCTGGGGCAACCCCTCCTCTCCGATCACGATCCTGCACCACCAATGCTCTCACAACAACAAGACCGTTGCCGTTGCCTTCCTCAGCCGACACGGTGCTCACCACCAGATTGCACCTCATGAGGTCCCAGCGCGCGCCAACATCGCCGCTCTGCGCTCGATTGGAGTCCGTACCGTCATCGCCTTCTCTGCCGTCGGTAGTTTGCAGGAGGAAATCAAGCCCCGCGATTTCGTTATTCCCGACCAGGTCATCGATCGCACCAAGGGTGTGCGCCCTTGGACTTTCTTCGAGGGAGGTGTGGTCGCACACGTCCCGTTCGGCGACCCCTTCGACGAGGGTGTCGCAAAGGTTGTGCGAGCCTGCGGCCACAGTCTGGAGGGCGAGGGTGTCGTTCTCCACGACCGTGGAACTCTGATTTGCATGGGTACGCCATTCATTTTCTGTTGTCGTTGTTTTGTGTCTCCAAGGATTATGGCTGACCGCTTTTCCATCACAGAGGGACCTCAATTCTCTACCCGCGCCGAGAGCAACCTTTACCGGTCCTGGGGCGGCAGCGTCATCAACATGTCGTGTCTGCCTGAGGCTAAGCTCGCCCGTGAGGCCGAGATGGCCTACCAGATGATCTGCATGTCCACCGACTATGACTGCTGGCACGAGTCGACCGCCGATGTCACTGTGGAGATGGTCATGGGCCACATGAAGGCCAATGCTCAGAATGCCAGACACTTTGTCACAGCCGTCCTCGACGCTCTGGCCAGCGACGAGCACTCCGACCTCGTCCAGGCCAAGCACGTTGAGGGCTCCATCAAGTTCGGCCTCAGCACCGCCCAACCCAACTGGAGCCCTGAGGCTCGGGAGAAGCTGGAATGGCTTTTCCCTGGTTACTGGAACTAAGCTCTCAAATTTCTTTCTCTGAGATGATAGATACGATGCTTCAACACATTGATATTATGTAGATCTACTGCTCTAGCATAGACGTTTATAGTTGGTTACGAACTTATGAGGATTGAACTTTTTATGTCGTGGTACATATCCTTCACATTACAAAAGATGTACTTACTGGAAACAGTTTGGACCGTTTCCGACCCATTGAATACCCCACGGTACAGCCAGCAACCATGAACTTCCGTTGCATTCTTATGCTGGAAGCGATGCATGCACACCTATTAATCAGCCTAGCTTTACTCTCTGTCTCTCTGTATTGGCTTATATGCATATTGTATGCAATGATGATGACGGCTCTAATCAACCCCTCACTTGGCTGTTTCACCGCTTAACCGGCACGTATAGCTCATATCTACACCTATCATGATCTCTGTATTGATTTTGACTCATTCCTACTACATGATTATGGATACTATCTAGCGAGGTATATACATGCTATTAGCGGAAAGACTTGGCATTCCAATCCCCAGCAGCGGAGGGCCGAGCACGTGGGTCTTAGTTCCTGAACGCCAAGGCACCCAAGCCCTTGGGGTTCATCCAGAGGCAAAGCTTCGTGATCCAGCATGCTTTGGCTTCGGTCTGCTATTTGTCGCCGGCGCAATGAGCATTCCAAGTCCGGAATGACGTCCATGCACTGGTACTCTCGAATGATGAGGTCTAGCTTGATTATGATGCCGTGTGCCCTGACGTTGCGCCCTTGGCGCTGCTTCCTGGCCGTGCGCTCGTCGGTTCCTCCAAGACAGGGAATGCAAACGATCCGGAGCATTCCTTGCTATCTTATCTCAATATGGATACTATAAATTGGTCCTCGTTCAGGCTATCCTCACTAATCTCCTCGGAGCAAAGAATCTCTCAGCATTGGCAAAGTCACCATGTGGTACTCGTTGTCCCTTCTGTTGTTGACGGCCTCGACTGCCACCGCTAGCTATGCGGGCAACCTCAACTACCGCAGTCCCTCTTACAACCACCCTGAATTGGGAGTTTCGATCCGCAAGGTAGCCAAGCGGGGTGAGCCGACATCGGCCTTTGATCCTGCTAAGTTGAATTTCACCCATGGCGTGGCTTCAGGTGATCCCTATGCTGAGTCGGTCATCTTGTGGACACGATGTGCCCCCAGTTCCGATGATGTCAATGACAACAGTACTACATCCGGACTGGCTCCTCTGTACAACCCAGTGCCTATCTACTCGGGCAAGCAAATGAGCAAGCCAGTCTCCAAGGCGCCTGTCTGCTTGAACTACAAGGTTTCTCATGATGCTGGCATGAAGAAAGTTGTCTCAGAGGGAACCGTGTTCACCAGCTCTGATATTGACTACACCGTCAAGGTAAGCACGAACGCATATCATCCGTTTGGAGCAACACATCATGCTTATATCATGATAGGTCGAGGCAACCAAGTTGAAGCCGTTTACCACATACTACTACCAGTTCAATGTGTGCAACTCGGACAACAAGAGTCCGATTGGGCGGACCAAGACCGCTCCTGCGCCTAAGGATGACGTTAGTAACATCAATCTGGCTGTGTACTCCTGCAGTAACTATCGTACGTCCTTGTTGCTATTTTTGACTGTGTATCGCTTCCTAATGAGACTCCAGCTTTTGGTTTCTTCAACGGTTATGGAAATCCTGTGAGGAAGGACTCTGTAGACTACGTTGTGCATCTGGGGTAGGACCAGAGAATTTAAGATGACCATGGGACAATACCAGGCTGACTTCAATAGTGACTACATTTACGAATATGCCAACGGCGAATAGTATGAACCTCCTCCTCCCAGTCCATAAAGCCAGCGACTGACCGTGTTATGCAGTGGCTGGGGAAACAGTCTGGGACGCATTCCTCAACCGGACCGAACTATTTTCACTCTCTACGACTACCGCAGGCGCTTGGCAACTTACAGAACCGACTTGGATCTCCAGGCCAGCCACCAGAACTATGCTTGGATTCCAGTTTGGGACGACCACGGTAGGTGCTCCTGCAAGTCATTAGGACTAGGGATCTGACTAGAACAGAGGTGTCTGACAACACTTACCGCGACGGATCCGCCAAGCTCCACAACGCTGAGGAGTCCTTCCTCACGCACGGTGGAGTGTCGGTTGACCAACGCAAGATGAATGCCGTCCGTGCCTATTTTGAGTGGATGCCAATTAGGTCAGCTTCTGGCAGCTACTCCTTTCTATCCACGGTAACTAACCTGCGCAGACAAGTTGAGATGGATGACAACCTTCGTATCTGGAGAAACTTCCAGCTCGGTTCGCTCGTTGACCTTATCATGCTGGACACCAGGCAGTATGATCGCTCTATCACCGACACCTACGACAATACCGACTATATCTATGAGATTGCCAACGATGCCGGTCGAACCCTGATGGGTAGCCGCCAGGAGAACTGGTTCTACCGCAATTTGATCGATTCGGCTAGCCGAGGTGCCCACTGGCGCATTATTGGTAGCCAGATTAGTATGTCCTCTTGATGTTTTGATTCAAGGGTGAGGACTAACACAAGTAGTCTTCTCTCGGCTCAATCAGTCCATTGCCAACAGTGAACATCCTCTGAATGTCGATGCCTGGGATGGATATCTGGCCAACAAGAACCGCACACTTCAAACTCTCTACGACCACCAGATTGGCAACAATATCATGATCGCCGGTGACTCTCATGCCAACTGGGTGAGCGACGTGGCTTGGATCGACAACAAGCTGTACAACCCCAAGACCGGTGCCGGCGCCATTGGTGTTGAATTCGCCGGGACTGCACTTACCTCCCCCTCGCCCTACGGACAGAACATTACGATTGCCGATGCCAACAAGGCTTCGAAGGCTCTGGTCACTGACAATGAAGAGCTTCACTGGTCGGAACTCTACTACCGCGGATACTTTGAGCTTCACATCACACCGAAGGAAGTAGAAGCCCGCTTCTTCGGTCTACCCAACATCAAGGAGCGTAACGGCGAGGAAATCTCTCTCGCCAACTTCACCGTCAAGAGCGGTGCCAATCATCTGGAACGCAACTCCAACGGCGTGGTGGGCGGAGGCGCTGTGGCCAACGGATGGCTCAAGAATGGGCAGCTGGTTCCTACCAACCAGACGAATAACACCGCCACTGGTAGTTATTCCGTCTATAGGTAGTAGATTGATGGAAAAATTTGTGGTCGGACTGCTGATTTAGAATGGCCTATTTGAAAGCACTGCAGATTTGGTGGTGTTTCTACGGTCATTCAGACCGTTCCAGTGGATTCTTTGTGCACTTAGTGTCCTATACCTTAATGGCTTGACATATTAGAAGCATGATTACCTTAAAAGGCTTCCTGCAAATCGTCAAGTCAATACGCTGCTGTCTTTGGTTGAGTGGAAGGCTTTCAACATGGTGTTACGGACGAGATACGCCTGTAGAACTGACCATTCTGCAGGGCGAAGCGTATACAAACCAATTTCATCGAAGTTAATCTATTATGTCTCGGAAATAGGCCGATAAGTAGAATTGATCGGCTCAAAATACTTATCTTTGTCACAATATATATATTAGCTGATTGGCGGACTTTTTGGCCTTGTTCCTCTTATCTTTAATCTGGCACATGGCACATTCGATGATATCACCAGAAAAAGAGACTCTTGACGCATAATTCTAAGAATAACAGTTCCTGCTCTCTTTTCTTTGAAAGAGGCCGTGATCAACATGGCGCCCCTGAATATCTCATTCGAATCCCATATCTCCACGCCAGATTGCCCCAGTGTGGGGAAACAATCGTCAGCTTCTCCTCTAACCGATGGATCTGCACTCCTGATCAAGGTTTAGTAGTACGGAGCATTTACTGCACTTGTTTAAAGCTGGAGTTACGGTAAACTTCGAAGTCTGCAAGATTGTCCTCGTGGGGAATGAGATGGAACACATTACCGAGGGTTATGCCTGGCATGTGGGGTAGGCAGACGGCACTCGACACTCATTTTCCTCCTGCAGCCCCTCCACGACTGCAGGACGGAATGTAGGCAGAAAGGTCTCATGATGGATCCTTGCCGCGAGTCAGCCTGCTCCTGCAGCGCAAGATCGTCAACCACTAGACCACAATCGGCCTTGTTTCGAAACGGAGGAACCACGCCGTCTTGGCCACCGACGCCAGCTTGCCCTATTGTCCAGTGAGATGAAGCAGTCACTTGAGGCACCGCCATGCTTTTTACCCGGATCCTTGTGGGAGAGGGCACATGCCACATTTCTCAGGAGGTGAAGAACCAGAAATAGGCAAACGCTCCGAATCAAGGGCTTGGTCCGGTTGATCTGATTCTATGCACGATGACATGACTTGATGAGCGGGAGGCCCTCGGCGAGCTGACTTGCTCTGCATATCCCTTCCCCTCTTGGAGATGGACTGGATGACGCGAATATATCTAGGGCCTGCTGCACAGGTGTGCAGCGTGGCCCGGTATCTACCTCTGGTTTCGATCGCACTCTGTGTCCGGGTTTTGATACGACAGCTCGCCTACGGCTATGTGTGTGGATAGCACCTGGGGTTGACCTTGAGTACTTGCTGAGCGTATCTGCTTAGTTCGGGAGATTTCTCGCTTGTGCAGCCATGCGCGCGCTTTCAGCTCTGGCCCTTGTGGCTTCACTGGTGCCATTGACACTTTCGGGTCCTACCTCTGAGTCTCGGGTTTCCACTCAGCTGGAATCACGAGACTCTGCTGCTGGATACTCCTCGCCGCCGTACTACCCTGCCCCTAATGGAGGGTGGCTATCCAGCTGGGCTGAGGCTTACGGCAAGGCCCAGAAGGTGGTGAGCAACATGACCTTGGCCGAAAAGGTGAATCTGACGACCGGGACGGGCCTCTACATGGGCCCCTGTGCTGGCCAGACCGGGAGTGCCCTGCGATTCGGCATCCCCAACCTCTGCCTTCATGATTCTCCTTTAGGAGTGCGCAACTCTGACCACAACACCGCATTCCCAGCCGGCATCACTGTCGGCGCGACGTTTGACAAAGACCTCATGTACGATCGCGGTGTGGCAATGGGAGAGGAGTTCCGCGGAAAGGGAATCAACGTGCTTCTGGGCCCGACAGTCGGCCCGATAGGGCGCAAGCCGAGAGGAGGTCGCAACTGGGAAGGCTTCGGCGCGGATCCCAGTCTGCAGGCGATTGGCGGTGCACAGACGATCAAGGGGATCCAGAGCAAGGGTGTCATCGCTACCATCAAGCACTATATCGGCAACGAGCAAGAGATGTACCGAATGAGTAGCATCGCCCAAACCGGTTACTCGTCCAATATCGACGATCGAACTCTCCACGAACTCTATCTGTGGCCCTTTGCAGAGGGGGTTAGGGCTGGAGTTGGCGCCGTCATGGCTGCGTACAATGATGTGAGTGCCTCCACTCGTGTTCTAGCGTCAGGCCATCTGATGAGTCGGGCGCCTAGGTGAATAGTTCGGCGTGTAGCCAGAATAGCAAGCTGCTCAATGACATCCTGAAAGACGAGCTGGGATTCCAGGGGTTCGTCATGACCGACTGGCTTGGGCAGTATGGCGGAGTCTCATCGGCCCTGGCTGGTCTGGATATGGCCATGCCCGGCGACGGTGCTGTACCGCTTTTCGGCGATGCTTACTGGGGCTCTGAGCTCTCGCGCTCTATCCTGAATGGCTCCGTTCCGGTTTCGCGGCTGAACGACATGGTAAGTTTTCTCGTCGCGTTTATTCGTTTCAKATGCTGATCATCATCAGGTCACCAGAATCGTGGCGACATGGTACAAGATGGGCCAGGATGGAGACTTTCCGCTGCCCAACTTCTCGAGCAACACACAAGACGCGACGGGGCCTTTGTACCCAGGCGCTCTTTTCTCTCCATCCGGCGTTGTCAACCAGTATGTCAACGTGCAGGCCGATCACAACATCACTGCGCGGGCAATCGCGAGAGATGCCATCACCTTGCTAAAGAACGATGGCAATATTCTCCCGTTGGGAAAGAATGAGTCTCTAAAGGTTTTCGGAACAGACGCCGGGCCTAACCCAGACGGTCTCAACTCCTGCACCGATCAGGGTTGCGACAAAGGGGTGTTGACCATGGGCTGGGGCAGTGGCACGTCCAGGCTTCCGTACTTGGTCACACCACAGGAAGCCATTGCCAACATCTCATCCAACGCTACCTTCTATATCACCGATAGCTTCCCCTCTAATGTGGCGGTAAGCTCAGGCGATATCGCCGTGGTGTTCATCAACGCCGACTCAGGAGAGAACTATATCACCGTCGAAGGGAATCCAGGGGACCGAACGTCGGCCGGGCTGAACGCATGGCACAACGGCGACACTCTCGTCAAAGACGCAGCGGCGAAGTTCTCCAACGTCGTCGTGGTCATCCACACCGTGGGTCCTATCCTCATGGAAGAATGGATCGATCTGCCGTCGGTAAAGGCCGTCCTTGTCGCGCATCTCCCCGGGCAGGAGGCCGGCTGGTCCTTAACGGATGTCCTCTTCGGCGACTACAGCCCCAGCGGCCATCTCCCGTACACGATCCCACGCGCCGAATCGGACTACCCATCCAGCGTGGGTCTCCTCTCGCAGCCTATCGTCCAGATCCAGGACACCTACACCGAGGGCCTGTACATTGACTACCGCTACTTCCTGAAAGCCAACATCACCCCGCGCTATCCCTTCGGCCACGGGCTGTCCTACACCACGTTCAACTTCTCGCAGCCCACGCTGTCCGTACGCACCGCAGTCGACAGCGCCTACCCGCCGACCCGGCCCTCCAAAGGTCCAACCCCAACCTACCCCGCCACCATCCCAAATCCCTCCGAAGTAGCCTGGCCCACGAACTTCAACCGCATCTGGCGCTACCTCTACCCATACCTCGACGACCCCGCCGGCGCCGCAAAGAACTCCAGCAATACATACCCCTACCCCGCAGGGTACACGACCGTCCCCCAACCGGCCCCGCGTGCCGGCGGCGCAGAAGGAGGCAATCCGGCCCTCTTCGACGTGGCCTTCGCCGTCAGCGTCAAAGTCACAAACACCGGCAACCGGCCCGGCCGGGCCGTCGCGCAACTCTACGTCGAACTACCCGATACGCTGGGTGTGGAGACGCCCTCTCACCAGCTGCGGCAATTCGCGAAGACGACAATCCTGGCCCCCGGGGCCAGTGAGACCCTGACCATGGAGATCACGCGCAAGGATATCAGTGTCTGGGATGTGGTGGTACAGGACTGGAAGGCGCCTGTTCAGGGCCAGGGAGTGAAGATCTGGCTTGGGGAAAGCGTGCTGGACATGAGGGCTGTCTGTGATGTGGGAGGTGCTTGCACAATTATATAATCTTAGTTTCCTTTATATACCTCGAATTTGGGTGTTTTTATAATATGTGCTGCATAATTTGCACAAGGCGATACGATATGCAGTTGCTGACTAATGCACAACCACTTTGCCTTCGCCGATCTCCATCTCAAGCTTCCGGTCATCTTCTCCCCACTAAGGTATTATCCATCAAGGACAACCACCGGTCGATCGATCAGTCCTTCGACCGAGTCTGTCCTGGCCGGAAACATATTCTGAAATGTGATATACGTCCTCATCCTGACGGATACTACCCAAGATGCAGGGCTTCAGTGAGTTCTCCGTCCCTCCGCACCCATCCCACCGTCATCACGCGGGGTATAACTAATAGTCATCACAGACATGGGACGGTCCGTCGCCTCCCCTTTAGCTACCTGACTTCCAGCCGGAACTGTAACTAACTACTGACATTACAGCTACGTCCCCCCGGACCAAGAGGGCCTCACGACCGGCAACAAGCTAGCGGGGAAGCACCCGCTAGGTGCGCGCGCACGCCACCTCCGCACAAGCGGCGCGCTGATTGTGCGATTCGAGATGCCCTTCGCGGTGTGGTGTACGACGTGCAAGCCGCACGAGACGCTCATCGGGCAGGGAGTGCGCTTCAACGCCGAGAAGCGGAAGGTGGGAACCTACTACTCGACGCCGGTGTATAGCTTTCGGATGAAGCATGGGGCGTGCGGGGGGTGGATTGAGATTCGGACGGATCCGGCGAATACGGCGTATGTTGTTGTTGAGGGGGGGAGGAAGCGGGATACCGGGGATGCAGTTGTTGGTGGGGTTGGGGAGATTGCGGTGGGGGAGGATAGGAAGGCGAAGGAGGATGCGTTTGCGAGGCTGGAGGGGAAGGTGGAGGATAAGCGGCGGGCGGAGACGGAGAGGTCGCGGATTGAGGATCTGCAGAGGCGACAGAACAAAGACTGGGACGATCCGTATGAGATGTCGAGGCGGCTGCGGAGGACGTTCCGGGTGGAACGGAAGGCGCGAGAGGGGGTCGAGGCGAAGGCCGAGGCGCTGAGGGATAAGATGAGCTTGGGGATTGAGCTTGTGGAGGAGACGGAGGAGGATAGCGTGCGGGCGGGCATGGTGGATTTTGGGCGGGGGGATGATACAACCCTAATCACACGTCGCCGGCCGTTGTTCGACTCGCGGAACGGGAAACGACCTAAGGCTGCGGATACGCTGGCTGAGCGCAAGGCGCTGTTTCGCAGTGAGTTGACGGGGAATACCCGGGCAGCGGTCGATCCGTTTCTCAACCAGGATGGGAGTGCATGGCGGCCCGAGGTCAAGAGGAGAAAGACGGCATCGACCAAGGGCGTGGATATCGCTGATGATGGACCAGCCGCAGTTAAAGCCCCTGTCGAGCCTGATAKACCGGTTGCAACGCCCGCGTTGGTCAACTATGCGTCTGACAGTGACTGAGTGAGGACTGGATGATGATTGCTTCTGTATTCTACGGCGTTTGTTTGCATGATACCCGGCGGAGTTCGCCTCAAGATACATGGTTTGGACTTGCTCCTGAATTGACGGATTTCATTATTGGTACGATAAAGGGTATAGAACAAGAGCTGGAAATTACGTATTTTGATTTGCGGTAGTAGTTACTTTGCCCAGGGAGCTTTCGTAGGAGCTTGGGTTGAATCACCGCCGGGTGCCTGCCCGCCAGACGATGCTGCCCACGGAGCTCTGGTAGGGGCCATAGAACCAGGGGGTAGTCGTGACGTATCGGGAAGGGAAGTAGGTGGTTCTCCGGGGATGCTTCCATCTCTCCTTGCTGCCCATGGTGCGGCGGTCCCTGCACCAACCGGCGGGGCGGCCTGAGTACCAGTTGCCCAGGGTGCCCTGGTCCCCGACGACGGCATCTGTCCTGCAGATGGAACCGCTGGCTCCCTAGACTGAGACTGAGCGGTAGATGTATGAACGGACGTCGGGGGCGGGACGGCATTTGGATCGCGGTCCCAGCGGAAGAGGGAGCCAAAGGGGAAGTGCTGCACGACGGGAAACTTGGATAGTACTTCCGCGTTGTACATTTTGATCATACCCTGAAGAGTAAGCACTCGGTCAATTCGAGCAAACGCAACGAGACTAACCTTATTGATTTTCCCCCAACCAGCCTGAATGCCGGAAATGTCGTAGAGCATAGGGCTGTGTTCCCAGAATGGGCCTTTCTTGACATCGTAAATGAACCCAATCGCGGAGAAATACATATTTGTCAACCTTTCTCGTTCGACGATATGTGCTTTGGCGACACCACTGGGCGATGGAGCACCTGCAAGCGAGCCTTCTTCAGGTGTTGGGTCTGTTTCTGAAATGGCTGGCGCCAGTTGCGCAGATCCCAGAATGTACGGGATGAAGGAATGGTCGTCCAGTCCCCAGACGCCATGCGACCCTGCCGGTTCGAGCGTGTACCGCTTGATGATGGTTCGCACCAACTCTAGATATCTGACGAGAAGTCAGCAATTGCAGTCACCACATTTGAGCCGTACCTACGGCTGTATGACCCCCAAGACGATAGCTCTCTCCTCCACCCCCGGTGTCGTCTTCGGAAACCCATTCAGCTTCCATATCCCAGCCAGGAAAGCCAGAAAGCTCAGCTCATGTCCAGTCCCATAGTCCAGCCTCTGAGGGCTCCCCAAGCTGCCTAAGAAGTACGCTTTGAGTTCTACCTCCGCGGTCACCCCATTAGGATCCGATGATCGGGCCTGCAGCAGCTCAGACGACAGACACTCCTCCAGGAGCTCCGAGGCTCGGCTCTCTACGAGCTCGTACCACCTGCGGAAACTAATATTCCCAAACCTCCGAGGACCGGTATCAGGCGGCGCCTCTTCGAGAAGCTCCTCCAGTTTTGTCAGGAGCAGCTGGAGCTGCCGTACAGGTGCGGAGAACTCGACGGCGTCTGTGTTGATCGGCCAGGATTGTACAGTGCCGTCGGCAAGTTTGACGGGGATCATGGCCCGGTTGAGCTGTAGGAGGAAGGTCATGATATCGACGTAGGCTTTGGAGACGAGGAACTGTGATACATCTTGAGATTCGTGGATTCTCTTGCTGGGGGTGATGAAGGTATGCCCCGCAGAGGGGTCGATGGTTGGAAGAACCCGGAAGGGGAAACTGTTTGCCATGATTGTTGTAGCTATGAAATTATGTCAAATCGGATTCTAGAGGGCGGTAATAAACACGGATAAAAAAGGGAGTTTGGATGGTAAAAAGTGGTGTTGTGGAGGACTGTACATTCTACGCAGGTCGATCATATGGCGATGACGCTGATCCGCTGGACGACCCTAGACCTCCGCAAAAACAGACGGATCAACCCTCAACACTGATGACATTCACCACCAACGAGCATCTCTACGTTAACTACCCGGAGTAATTTCCTAATACAACGTCCATCCCATTACAATTAGTTAATGGCCGTCCTTTATGAGTTCCTCGCGAAAGAACAAACGCGATTTGACCTCGCGGACCGTGGATTTCCTCAACCGCGTCAACAGCGTCAAGGACAACACCAGCGCGGGCCCCCAATCCAGGAGTAAACCGCGCGTTCGGCGCTTACCCTCGCAGCCTATCAATCGATTTGGTAGCAGGACGCCGCAAGTTCCACAGGGCGATACTATTTGGGATATTCCGTCGGACTTTTCGGAGGAGGAGACACGGCCTGCGTCGCGAAGACGAAATGCACAGTCTGAGCCCCGTTCTCTGAGACGATCCCAACGAGCTCGAAAGTCGGTCCATGTGGAGGATACCCCGACCGGGACGTCGCGGAGATTGGCGCGTGTCATTGAGGATAGACATGAGCGAAGTAGCGAGGAAGATGATTCTGAAGCGGAAGAGGAATTGAATAAAATCATTGATAAGCAGTTAAGTGGCGCGAGGTTGATCCAGTCAGTGAACCAGAACAGAAGTCCAGACGTCAATCAGGGGCCTACCAATGAAGAAAGGGAGGAACAAGAAGGTGAAAGCGACCGGGCCGCGGAGGAACCTGTGGAATCGACCTCACCTTCGAAAAAGCTCAGGATTCAGCAATCTAAGACGACGGACGCGCAGGAATCCCAAGACGGCGATCCGGAATGGGCGCCCGATACAGCAGCAAGTGAAGAGTTGGGAGAAGAAGAGGATGAGAGAGGACCGGACACTAACAGACCGCGAGAGTCTACGCATATCATCCAGACTCGAAGATTGACTCAGGAGCTGGCCTCGCCGCGAGTGACACGGAGACATACCCTTGCGGCTCAAGTAGCTGAGAAAGAGGTTGACAACGCTTCAAGAAGGCCGAACAGAAGGTCGCTGCCGGTGCAGAATGGTTTAAGAACGGGAATGAGTACTCAAGACACGCAAGCGGATAGAACTGCAGAGCTATCAGAGGTATCTGAATCTGTGCAAGAGGAATCTGAATCAGAAAGCTCTTATGAACCGGAGGCAGAGGCGGAGGCAGAGGAAGAGGAAGAAGCAGGGGCAAGTCAACATTTAACCAATCCGCAGCGGGAGGAACCATCCATCACCGCACGACCAAGTAAGAGACGCCGTACCGATCAGTATCAGCGCAACCCTCAAGTCGAGGTCTTGCGCACACAGCCAACGCCGCCGCCCGTGCATTCATCTCCATCGACTCCTGATGACAGCCAGAGCCGCAGGAGCGCGCGTCATCCTTCGCAAAGTCCCGCTGTTGCCACAAGGCCCATCAGTGCGATCTCGGATGATGCACAAAACGAAGCTCTGGTGAGAAGTGTCAGAGACAATGCGGGGGATAAAGCGTGGTTTGCGGAGGCTTCAAACCTTGGACAGCAGAAGGAGAACTGGGACACTATAGTGGCGGAAGCATCGGAGTTGAAAGAGAATATAGATCCCTCTCGAGCGGAGTCCTTTGGGAAAATCGACAAACAATTATCTCAGCTACGTACAAGATATACAAAGATCAACAAGCAACTCAGATCTCAGCAGGGGCCTCTCCGAGAGAATCTGCGTGAGTGCGAAGACCTTCGTGAGGCCATCTTGGAAGAAGGGACCAGGATCCTTGACAGCGTCTACTATCTGTCTCTTCGACAAGCCGAATCGCATGAGCTGCTGAAACAGGCGCACCAGCTAGTTAAGCAGTTTGAAGCCCGGGTCTTTCCCGCCATGGTCAAAGTGATCCTTCTTTGCTTTGAAGCATACTACACCAACCAGAAACTCTTTCCGTCGGCTTATAGACATCTTATCGGGGCGATGAAGCTCCTTCTACGATTCTGCGACCGGATAGCCAGCCTACGCGCCGAGCGATATATACTGTGCAAGATACACAGTCGAACCATCCGCAAGCCGCTGCAAGAGCTGATCAAAGCGTTGGAAGGCAACTTGCTACAGCCACGCGTGAATGAAACCGACAGGGCCTCCAGAGGCGAGAAGAAGAGAGAATGGACTGAGGATGAGAAGATTGCTCTTCTTGATGGATTGAAGCTGTTTCTGGGTGGGTTGCTGTTCCTCAATTTTTCAGCACCGGTATCATCGTCAATGCTAATTCAAGCTGTGATGTCTTAGGCCAGGACCGCTACATTCGCATGGTCTGCCATTTTGGACAGAGACTGCGTCACCGAAGTCTACAGGAGCTTCAGACGAAAGCCCGAGAGATTCATGACCGGTTTATCCCTCGAATCCAGGAGGAGCTCAGGACCGTAGAAGGGCGTCGACAGTGGCAATGGTTATTGAGTGTGAACGACGGTCAGCGTCCGGTGTCCGTGGATTGATTATGATTATTCTCTTGTCTTAATTGGCGCTTTTGTCCTTCGATACCCCTTTTTGTTATGTATAGTTTCATCTCTCTCAGAACCATGGATCATCGAGGCGAGCGATCCACAGATCACATTTGTTTTGTTTTGATGCGGTCGGCGCGTAGCAACACACTGGGCAAATGGTTCGACACGACCCTGATGCTCTACAAGAGACAAGCCATATAGAAACTTAAATACTAATGTTATAATTTCATCAGCCGACAGCAATCATCACATCATCCGTACATTGTAGATAGATAGACAAGGGCCATCTGCTGATCGCTGTCCGTGTGTCTCCGCCTTTTCCCCCACTCCCCCTGCTAAAATCAAATAGTCGGCAAAAGGAAGGGAACTTTTGACTCTACTACTCTACTCTACCTACTTCTCTCCTACATCTGTCGCCTGGCTCTCTCTCATCCATTAATTGTCACATGTCTCAGTTGTCTGCTTCTCCTTTCCTGTCATAAAATTCTTTATATCCTCTTTAATCTTGCAATTCTTCATTGATTTCTTCTGTCTGTTGCTTTGTTTTGGTCGGGTTCTGTTGGCCAATCATACCCCCTACTGCCGACACCGTTCACCTCCAATTCTCCCGCTGTACAAGTATCTGTCTAAGGTACTAAGTAGAAGCTAAGGGACCTAAAACTGCTTCATTACTCTAGTTGGGCACTTGATCCCGTTTCTATCCCGCATTGGTCCGGAGAATCGTCAATTAGTGAGTTGTCATCTCCTGTCCTTCATGGCTGCCCTATAGGACCTCCCCCAGGATAGGGGGGCCACACGTCCACCTCGCATCGCAGCTGCCTCTGCCTGCAGATCACTCGGGAAGCAATTCGCTAGCTGTGGTGAAGTGTCATTAGCTGATTGCTGCGTTGTCTGTCTCTGGTGTCTGCACAGCATCAATCATTTCTGCACTGATGATCTTGCATGGATTCCCATAAATTGATTGCTACTCTAGTTTCTCTCAGAGCTAACAGACTTCCCTCTAGGTACGGTCTCAGGCCTACCAACACCCCATAATGGCTTCCACGGAAGAACCCGTCCCTGCCCCTGCTCCCGCTGCTGCGCCCGCTTCGGCCGAGGTTGACGCTGACATGGCACCCCCGGCTACTCCTGTCGACTCTACCATCTTGTCTGGCAGCGAGGGACCCGTTACAAGCCCCGATGCTTCGATCAGAGACAAGGAGAATATCAAGTCTTCGCCCGAAAAGACCACTACAACCACAAAGCGTCCGTTGTCTGGAACGGCAGCTGCCAAACGTCCGAGCTCTATTTCGGGCGCTTCCAAGACCGCAGCGTCCACCGCGCGAGCTGCGGCCAACGGCAGTACGCTCAGCAAGCCCCCAACTCGTCCTACCCCTTCCGGGACTGTCCGTAAACCGCTGAGCACTTCGACAACCGCCTCTCACCGGTCTCGTCCTTCGGTGAGCAGCTCCGCAGACGAGAAGACGAGATCGGTCGCGAGCTCTGGCGACGAAAGGAGAGGCATCTCGGGCTCGGCCAAGCGCATGTCCTTGGTCGGCACTACTTCCTCTAGGGCTCCAGTGAAGACGACTACGTCCACTTTGGACCGTCGCTCGAGCATTGCCGGCACCACCGCTTCAAGGAGCACGGCTACGCGTCCTGGTGCCGCTTCATCGACTAAACCTGCCACAAAACCAACTGGCGTGTCCAGCACTTCCCGTACATCCAACAGCACGACCACGACCGCGGCCCGACCTACAACCCGACCCACGGCCACGGCTACGCGCCCTACAACGACGGCCTCGAAACGACTGAGCACCGCCATCAAGGTTTCAGATGATGAGGCAGAGAAACTGCTGTCGCTGCAGAACAAGCTGTCCGAGAGTGAGTCTACTGTCGCCAGTCTCAAGGCAGAGCTGGAGACTGTGAATGAGAAGCTTTCTCAGCTGTCGGTGTCTCAGGAGGGAGCGCCCAAAGAAAACGACGATGCAGTCGCCAGCGCCCTCCGGGAGGAACACGCTGCCGAGACCGCAAAGCTGGCCGCTGAGCATGCCGAGCAGCTCCAAGCTCTGCAGGCTCAATTGGACGAGGCAGAGACCAAGCGCAAGGAGTTGGAAGAAAAGTCCCTGCAGGACCTGGACGATGCCGCCAAAGCAGCCGCTCAGGAAGGGGACGACAAGACTACTGCGGCACTTGAGGAGTTGAAGCAGTCCCACCAGTCTCAGCTTGAGTCGCTGGAGAAGGAACTCGCTGAACAAAAAGCCATTGCGGCCGGTTACGCAGACCAGATTGCCGCTCTCCAGGCCCAACTCGAATCGCAAAACCACGGCCTTGAGGAAGCTACTCAGAAGTTACAGGAGGAGAAGGCGTTGGCCCTCGACAGCTTGGACCGGGAGCTCAAGGGACGCGACCAGGTGATTGAGAACCTCAACATGGAGATGGAGAAATTGAACAGCGCCAAGGAACAGGAGGTTCGTGCGGCCGAAGAGTCCGCCAAGCAATCCGTCTCCGCTTTGGAGGAGAAGGTCGCCGATCTAGAGGCCAAACTTGCCCAAGCTGAATCTGCCACGAGCCAAAGCAGTGAGGAGACTGCTCTTCTGCTTGCCGAGAAGGCGAAGGAAGTTGCTGAGCTCAAGCAAGCTGTTGCAAAGTTGCAGGAAGAGCTTCAGGAGGCCCGTGATGCTGCTGCCAAGGAATTGAATCAGAAGATTGCTGAACTAGAAGCCGCTCACGAGGCCGCAGTCGCCAAGCTCAAGGCCGAACACGAGGAGGCTCTGGCCTCGGCCGCCGCTGCCCACGCCCAGGAATTGACCGTGGCGAAGCAGGCAGCTGAATCTGCCGGTTCCATGCACTCTGAGGAGCTTCAGAAGCTGCGTGAGGAATTGGATGCTGCCGAAGCCGCAGCGCAAAAGGGAAGGGAAGAAGCCATCGGTGAGCTCAACGCAGCACATCAAGCGGAACTGCAAGCCCTTCAGGACAAGCTGAACGCATCAGAGCAGGCGCTGGGTGAAGCCCGGCAAGCGCTGGAGGCTAACGTCAGCTCGGCGCAGGCCGTTGCGGTCCAGGAGATTGAGTCGCTCAAGGAGAAGGTTGGTGCGTTGGAGTCGCAGCTGTCGACCGGACAGGGCGAGATCCAGTCTCTGGTAGAAGAGGTCCAGAGCAAACAGGCAGAAGCCGAAGCCTTGCACCAGAACCTCACTGATTTTGAAACCAAGCTCAAGGCCAAGGACGCCGAGAAGGACGAGCAGCTGAGGGCTCTGGGTGAGAAGGCGGCTGCCTCGGAGAAGGCTCTTGAGGAGCAACTGAAGGAGGCGGTTGCTGTTGCTGAGAGACACGCACAAGCCCTGGAGGCGTTGAAGGCAGAGCATGCTGCGGCGCTTGAAAAGGCCGAGAGCGAGGCGGCTGGGTCCCATGAAAGTGCGCTGAGCGCGCTCCAGGCCAAGCATGATGAGCTGCTCGCGGCGAACCGGGACTTGGAAACGTCTCACGCCGAAAAGGTCGAAAGGCTAGAGGCGGAGCTGAAGAGCACGCTGGAACGCCATGCGGGCGAGATCAGCTCGCAGACGGAGCTGCGCGAGAAGGAAATCGCGGATCTCCGGAAGGACTTTGAAGAAACCAAGGCCAAGCTCCTTGCGGAACTCGAGGCATCGCAGACATCCAAGGCTACCGAAGCTGATGCCGAGCACAGCAAGGCGATCGAACAGCTCCTCACTCTCCAGGAGGAGAAGCTGTCCAGCCTCCGGTCCGAACTCGAATCCTCCCACAAGGCCAAGCTGGATGAGCTGCAGAAGTTGCATGACACCGCCCTCGCGGAAGTCCAGGAGCAGCTAGCGCAGGCCCGTGCTGCGATGCAGGACACCTCTCTGATTGATGGTCTGAGGGCGACGGTGGCCGATCTCGAGCAGAAGCTGATGGATGCGGACAAGGCTGTGGCTGCCAAGGAAGCGCTGGCGAACCAGCATAGCACCGCGCTGACCCAGCTGGATGCGGAGAAGAAGGAGTTGGAGGCCCGCTATACGGCGGTGACCACCCAAGTGGACGAGTTGACCAAGTCAGCTGCTGCGTCGGAGAGCATCAAGACGGAGCTGGAGCGGGTCCTGAACCAGTTGTCTGCGTCGCAGGAGGAACTGTCGCAGCTCCAGGCCAGCCACGTAGCGGTAAGCGGCGAGCTGGAGCAGTTCAAGACGCAGGCCCGGACGATGGAGGAAAAGCTGTCCCAGGGCGAGAAGGACCTGAACGACCAGATCGAGCGCAACATGTCGCTACTGAACCAACTGGGCGAGGTGGACTCGGCCATTTCGGCCAATCGCAAGCGCGTGCGTGAACTGGAGGCCGAACTGGCGGCGCTCAAGGCGGACAAGGACAGCGGCAAGGGCAACGTGGGGCTGGAGGGAAGCCGATGGGCGGCGGCAGAGGATGGAGCGAACGCGAACAAAAGTGAAGAGAGTGGTCCAACAGCCGCTGCGGAAGGTGAGGACCTTGGATCATCCATAGAGGGAACGGTGGGAGACCCGTTGTTTACTCGGCGCATCCACCCGGGGTGTTCGTTCCCAGTGTTTGACGTGATACTAATGCGGTGGACATAGATGGCAAGCATTCAGGAACAGCTTAAACATATCCGTACGGCCAACGATGACTGGTACGACGAACACCGCAGGTTTGCCTCCCTCCCTTTTTTGACTTTTCTTCAGACTTTGACCTAATGATGCATTTAGACTCATTGGCGAGCTCACTCAGCTATCGCGACGCACAACGCCGGACCGTCGGAGCCAGTCGTCAACGCCTCAGCTGGAACGGCTGGGCAGCTTTGAGAGCCGCAGTGGGGAGCGGTCGTCCTGAGTGAGCGAGAGGAGGGGAAAGTGATTTCGGAAGAAGTATTTCCTTTGTATTGATTGGTTGTATGTAATACGATGCTCAGGATACCCTGTTCATACTTGATGCGTCCAGATGAAGAACAGTCTAGTGTCTAAACTTATTATCATTATGATTATAATGCAGAAGATGATTCGGCGGATTGGGTATCATGATAAGCCAAGTGCACCGAGCCAACTGGCCAGAGCCACCACCAAAGTTAAAAGGCGAGGTCAGTGAGACTCGCGGTGACGAATGTGAGAGACCCACGACCACGACCACGACCACGACCACAACTGGCGTTGCCGTAGCCGTTGCCTTGCTCGTTTCTTCTCGCAGGCCGCCCGACGCATCTCGGCGTACAGCGACGGCGTGAGGATCTGAGGCGGCGGCGATGGCTCTAGTTCGGGGGCCGGTGAGGGCACGGGTACCGGTTCGGCGGGTACTGTCTCCCGTTTCTCATCGAGGACGCCTTCCCCATCCTCATTGGCATGTCCGTGCATGGGATTCTCAGAAATCATCGTGCGATCCGCCTCCCCGTCCATCATCCACGTCCTGCGTTTCTGGTGATGGAGGTGCTGGCCCGCCGACGTGAAGGCCCGACAATACGCCGCATAGGACTCGGAGAGATCGCGCTCTGCCTCGTACTCTCTCACTTTGCGGTGATTGAGGTCGGGGGTAATTTTCTCTCTGTCGTAGCCATTGGCATCGTGGATGTGATTCTGATGGTGGGTGTGGGTGTGAGCGTGGTCGTGGTCGTGGGTATAACCGTTATCGTAGGTGGCGTTTAATCCCTGCTTGGAGATACGGCGCGAGAGCCACACTGATAAGCGGCGCAAAGGGAGGGATTTCCGACGAGTCAGCGTCGTTTGGTAATCAGCGAAGAGGAGGAGGGAGGAGGCGGTCGAGGAGGTGATGGATGCTGTGTCTGGGAGGAGGATTTCTGGCATTTTTGCAGAGGTATTTGTCTGCCTGTCTCTTTTGATTGAGGGGGTTGGTGGTATAGACTAGGCATCTATATATATTTGGCTAGTAGGACAGGAATGAGGAGGAGAATGAGAGAGTGAGACAAGGGTAAGTCAGCAATGCGGGAATGTATATGTGGATAGTGTCCTCATTTCATTCTATTGACAGGGTATGATCGTATAATGTAATATAATGTGAAGGGAAGCCKAGGAGAATATGGGGATATGGTGGATATGGAGGGACAGGCACATGCTGTTATCTATATAGTGGTACAGGCTCTATAGTGGCATGGAGTATAGGTGCATGAACTACTACACAGAAGTGAGCACAGTGGCTTGTGTAGCGTCTTGGAGCGCAGGATCCACGGGACGTTGGGAACTTGGGACCGTTTCTGGGCATATTTTTKGTACATTAGCAGATAGGCCGTTTCTTGCGGAGGGAGCACAGTTGGAAGATGGTGGATCCTGTCGTGTGAGACCGGAGAAGGAGTGATAAAACCTGTCCAGTCGCTGGCGAGGATTAATCTATTGGTACACTCACTGGACCCTGTATTAGGTCACACGATGTGTGGGCATAACTAATACTCTGTCCTTTTCCTTGCAGTATCACTGTTGCACTGCAGTTGCTTCCTTACTTTGTACTACTTGCGTGCGAATTATTATCGTTCTAACAGTGTATATGTTATGTATGTAATGTACAGGTGGTATATACGGTATATGTAGCTATCCAGATACACCGTCTCGTCCCAGTCCCCATCTACCCACCTCCCGCATCGCCTCGTCCCCTCCCTCGACTAATCGCCCGTCTGCATTCGACTCATTCGCACTGCCTAACGCTCCGGCGACGCACTCCCATCCACTGCGTCCGCCTCCCCACCGCAGCACCTCGTTCTTGTACCGCTCGCCTGCCGCCCGGTCGACCGCGTGCCGGCCCGCCCCGAACACATCGACCCAAAGCTTGTTGGCGATCGCCCGGTCGAAGATGTAGCTGTAGTACGTGGCCCCGTAGCCGTAGAGATGCCCGAAGAACCCTTGCCAGGAGGTCGGCGGCGTCACATCCGCCGGCTCCGGCAGGCTCGAGTGTTGCTGCGCGACCTGCTGGTAGAGCGCCGTGCTGTCGATGCGGCCTCCGTCCGCTGGCCGAGAGTGGTACGCCTGGTCGACCAGCGCCATCAGGATCTGTGCCTCGTTCTCGACCGCCCCGTAGATCGACCCGTGCGCCGTCCGGTCGCGCTCCATGCTCCGGATCATCCCCTCCGACAGCGGCTCGTCCGTCCGCCAGTGCCGCGCGTACAGCGCCAGCACCGACGGCGCCGTCGCAAAACTCTCCATCAGCACCGACGGCAGTTCCGCAAAGTCTGTGGCGCACCGCGTCCCCGAGATCGATTGCAGGCGCGTCTGGCCCAGGATCGAGTGCACCGCGTGGCCCATCTCGTGGAATAACGTGCGCACGCTGTGCTCGCTCAGCAGCGACGGACGGCCCCCGCCGTTCGACGCGGGCTCCGGGAAATCGCACACCAGCGCTATCGTCGGCAACTGCCGCAGCGTCTTGGTGGTCGGGTCCACCGCCGTCGCCATCCCGTCGTTGGGGTGCGAGGTCTGGTCCAGCGAGGCGCATTCGGCCACTTCCTCCGCCGAGATCTCCCGCGAGCAGCGCAACGTAAAGTGTGCCGGGTTCGGGTGCTTGTTGGGTCGCGAGAACAGATCGCAGTAGATGACGGCAATGTGTCGGCCCGCCTCGTCCACCACATCCAGCCGTCGTACGTCCGAGTTCCACGTCTCCCCGGGGGCGGGCTCCTGGGGCACCAGCCGCACCCCGTACAGCCGATCAAACAGTCGCGACAGACCCTGCATGACGGTCCCCAGCGAGAAAAACTCGGGAACTGCACTCAGTTCGCGGGACCGCCGCGCCTGCGAATACTGCATCACCCGTTGATGAACGTAATACGCGTGATCCCACGGCTGCAGCGGGGCTCCCTTCATGGCTTGCAGCTGCGACAGTTCCTCCCGGACCAGCTTCCGATTGCTATCCACGAGGGCGGTCAAAAAATTCGAAACCGCCTCGGGGCTCTTGGCCATCTTGTCGCTGAGGGTCATGTGTGCGAAACTCTCATGGCCCGACAGCTTCGCCAGTTCCGCTCGTTTGAGAAGCAACTCCTCCAGCCGATGGAGCTGTCGCTTGCTCGACGTCCTTGACGCCAGATAGACCTCTCTACGCACGTTCTCGTCATGCACCGACCGCAGTGCCAGCCGTGGGATCATCCCCGTCGTCGGGACTGCGGCCGTCCGGTTCCACCGCTTGATCTGCTGCACCAGGATGGGATCCAGCCCCCGGAGACTGTTGGTAGGAACACTGACGTGCGACTTGGCCGGCTCGGCGCCATTGACGAAACTCGACCCCAGCTGGCTGATGTCGTTGGACAGGTTCACAAACCGCTGCCGCTCGTGCGGCGGCATATAGATGGCCGAGTTGGAAAAATCCTTGATCAGAATCTGAGCCACGATCTTCTCCTCTTCCGACCAGTGCGACGTCACCTCGGGGTTCGCCGCCGCCTTTTTCAGCTGGTCGTTGAGCCCCGTCGTCGTGTTGAGCACATTCATATACTCGAACATGAGCGCGTACGCCTGCGTCGCGGCCTCCTGCACCTGCGGATCGGGATGGATCACCCGGATGAAATCAGACAGATCGATCACGCGACACAGCAGGTCGCTCAGCCGGTCCAGATCCCGCGCCATCGTCCGATATTCTTCGAGGGTCGAGGCCGCCAGCACCTTGGACACGATCGCCTGGCATTTCTGCAGCGATACATTGGCAAACGTCCGAAAGCCATCCGGACTCGTCAGGTATTGGTTCTGGACTAATCCCGTCCGTTTGGGCTGTGCCGACCGCTGCTGCGAGAACTCACGCCAGAACTGTTGGGAGTCGAACACTCGGCGAAGCGTATTGTCATCGACGGTTTTTGTCCGTGAGTAATCCGCCGGAACAGAATCTAGCTGTCGAGGGAACGGCGATGCTGCCGTTTCAAAGGAGCGACGAGTCTGGTGCTGGAGCAGCTGCAGGCGTTGCAGGCACTTCTGGCATGTCCATGGCCGACGCCGCAGAGGAACAAGTAGTTGGTCTTTCATGGCGAGTGGACCAGGCAGAAAACCTGTAAATTTAACATCGATAGACGATATCAAACTATTCACAGATAGAGAAACCTGTCAAGTAGACATAACTGAGGAGAATGAAGTAGGCAAGAGGCAAGCAGCGGACGATGACGGAGAGGATCGGACCAGCTGAACAGCCGCGAAAAGAAAAAGGCTTGGCAGCTCCAACGTCAACCTCGATACTTCCTGGTCACCATCACCACCACTCTCTTTCTCTCCTTGCTCTCCCCCCACCATTGGCATTGATTGACCTCTTTCCGTCAGGATGTCATTCCGGCCAATGTTCCAGCAGGTGAGTCCCTTTTTCCCGTTTCTCTGTTGCTACCCGGCTAACTCGTCCAGCGAGCTGTTGCTCCAATCGCGGCCACCCTTCTGGCTGGAGGCGTAGCCCTGTATCCCAGGCGGACTGCATACGCCGAAGAGCCCTTGGACAACGTATGTTCTGTTCCGATACCAAGACGCTTGCACATCTTCGAGATGACTAACGTCTACAGAAAAAACCCATCTACGATGACTTCCCAGCCGACATCCCCGAACCCACCAGGGCCCCCAGCCCGCTTCCTCCTACCCGCAGCTTAACTCCCCCTTCGTCCTCCTCGCCTACCCCGACCGACATCCTGACGGCCCAAGTGCGCCAGGCTCGTCTCTTCCTCTACAACCACTCCCTCGCCGCCGAGAACAGCTTCAACGACTTCCTCTCCCGCGCCCTGCACATCGAGAACGCCTTCACCAACACCATTGCCTCGCTGGCCCCCTCGCCCGAGTCCGGCGAGCGCCTCCTCCCCGGCGGCGTCTACGTCGTCGTCGCCGCCATGGCCGGCTCCATCGTCTCCCGGAACCGCGGCATTTTCCTCCGCACGCTCTCGCCGCTGGCCTTTGGTACCGTGGCTGCTTGGACCCTGTTGCCCGTGACGATGCGGAATGTCTCCGACCTGGTATGGGAGTATGAGAAGAAGGTGCCTGTCGTGGCCGAGCAGCATCTGGCTCTCCGTGAGAGGGCGGAGTACCTGTGGTACACGGGTGTGGCGCACAGCGGCATGGCGCGGCAGAAGATGGAGGAGAAGATCGGTGAGACGAGGAAGAAGTTGGAGGAGTTGGTGAGCAAGGGACATTAACCTCTGTACTTTTTTTCCTTTTACACTCTGGCAACGTTCAGCTTGCCTGTGCTGTATACGGGCTGAGGGTGCTCACAAACCCTCATTGCATTGTACTCTTAGCCGTCACTAGATCTGAAAAATTCGCGGTTCTGTTTTCTGTCGTTGCAGGGATCTTGTTATTACTGGATGAATGATTACTGCATTATTCTAAATATGGTATAATTGACCGCTAACCCTCTTGATCCTCGGCCGGCGCTGGACTACCAACAGGAGGCGACGCGACCCCGGCCTTGGGCGGCGGAGGCAAAGGAGTCCCTTTCCGCGACGGGATATAATCCTGCTCTTTGCTCTTCTGTTCTCCCTCGGCAAAGTACTCGTCGAACGCCAGGCTGGGTGAGACGCCCATGTGACGTGTTCGGCCGCCTCGCCGCGTTGCAGGAGACCGGCTATCCGAAGGCGACGCCGACGACAAGACCCTGTTGGGAGCAGATAACGGCGGAGGCGAGGCCATGTTCGCTGGCACCAGGAAGCTTCCCGCGCCGGCGGCTGCTGTCTGGCTAGCATCCATGGCATGCGCCATCGGCGCAGAGGTGCCGTCCTCCCTCGTCTCGAAGACGACCTCACCGGGGCCCTCGACCTCCTCGCCTAGCCCGACAGGTAACCGGTGCAGGGCCCCGTAGCCTAGTTCTGCGCCGAGCGCGCCTTCGCCGCCCCAGCCCCGAGTTGGGACCAGCTCCA